TTCTTTCTTTCTTTCTTTCTTTCTTTCTTTCTTTCTTTCTTTCTTTCCCCCCAGGTCTTTATACCTGGGTCCTCAGAACCAATATTCCTCAAAAGCTAATCTAGAGCTTCCAATATACTGACTCCAATTTTCCAAAGCAGGATGCGGAGTTCCATCCAATCCCAATTCTCCATGACCCCATGACCTCTGGCGCTTGCCATAAATTACAAGAGGAAACTACCAGCTTCACCTTGGCCGCAGGAAGTGCAGATGCAAGGAGAAGTGGTCAGGCAGCTTTCATGCCTAAAACAGTATTAGAACTCACGGTCTCCCGGTGATCAGCCCAAAGCCATTCGATCATTTTTTTCATGCATAAGACAGGACTAGAACTCACCGTCTCCTGGTGATTGCCTCAATGTTGTGACCTGTCAGCCGCTGGCTCCTTAAGCAGCCAAATCAGAGGAGGAGGAGGAGTTGTGGGAGTCAAGGTCAACATGAAGGCAGTGTGAGAACTCCGAAGGGGAAGAGGGAATGGAGCTAGCAGAGAGAGAGAGAGAGGCAGAGGCAGAGCCTGGGCTATCCATCAGCCCTCAGATGGGGAGTCAACAGCCCCCAGGTCTGGAGGTGTCTGGTGAGGAAGAGGAGGAGCAGCTGGGTCCAGTGCCTGACCCACAGATGCACAGAAGGCAGAGGAGAGGAGAGCAGTGGAAATCTGTGGGCCGGTCCTTAGGACGGAAGAGCCACCACTGCTAGCAAAGCCCCTCCTAGCTCTGGGAATAAAAGGCAGCGGGTGGAGATGAATAGATATGGCAGACAAGTATTTATCTCCCCTACCGGACAGACTTGTTAGCCTGCGGTGAGAAAGAAACTTTTTTGCTGGGGCTGCTGGCAGTCCTAATAAAGGAATCATTAATTTAAATACAGGAGGTTTGTCATGTTTGGGGAGCTGGGTCAGAACATTGAAGATCACCCATCCAACTTTCATGCCTATGTCATTTTATCATCATTAGCCACCAACTCCTCCCAAGCTCATCTTTAAATAGCAAATTAGCTGGAAAAAATAATCCATCTCGGTAGCCTCTGGATCTGGACAGCTTCCTTTTCTTCGGAGCTCTTAATCTGTCCATCTTTAAAAATCGGGCACATCTGTTGTCCCCGTTTCTCCTAACCCTGCAGACACCCAGAGAAAATCTTGCTTCCCCGGCAGATGTTAAAACGGAGAATGAACTCGGTGGAGGAACTTGCAAATAGAATCCTAAAGCTGGATTAGGAGATACAGTCTTGGGTCTCCCTAATTGGATTAAGCTTAATTGCTTCGAGGTGGATCTGGGAATATTCCTAACGCAGCAGGAATTATGATGTTATCAACCCTAGTAGAAGAACGTAAGACGTTCGAACAACTGTCCATGGCCATCGGGTTTCCAAGCAGGGGAGAGACCAAGGACCAAAGCATGATTTAATGTAAATTGCAGCCTTAATCCAACTGAGGGGAATTATATGGGGCAATAGATCTCTAATGAAGCTAATTTTACGCTGATGTTTATCTCCTGTGCTTCAAAGGGCATGGAGTGTGTAGAAATATGGCTGAGTGGTTGCAAGGGTTCCCTGATCTCCTGTTCACATGGACAGGTGTCATTTCTAGATTACCAACGAAAGTGCTGGGAAAAACTCACCGTCCTTACAATAAGCCACACAAATGGAGGGGGCCTGTTCCTAAGGGCCCCCAAGTTACCAATAGAAGAAACCGAATGGTGGTGGCTGAAGGCTTTTTTCTCCTTTCATCCACTGAGACTTGGAATACTGCATCCAATTTTGGCCACCAAAATATAGATAGATGGATGGATGGATGGATGGATGGATGGATGGATGGATGGATAGATAGATAGATAGATAGATAGATAGATAGATAGATAGATAGAT